CCATCGGTCTGCGGGTGATCCCGCGAGGCCCAGATGTGGTCAATGTACAGGGCAATCATGAGCTCATCGAACTCGCCCTCAAACTCTCGGCCCTGGTCGGTCACGACCTCGGCGGGCGCTCCAAATCGGGTCAGAACATCCCGAAAGGCGGCTGCGACGTGCTTGGCCTTCTTGGCCGGAATCGCACGGAGCTCAATCCATTTCGTAAAGTGCTCGACCATCACGACGACATATCTGTTGCCGTCGTCGGACTTCCGTGGCATCTTGCACACGTCTACGCCCCATCGGTAGAACATGCCCATAATAGGCAGGGGCTTGAGCTCAGGGTCCTTGACGTCGAACGTCGCCTTGACCCGATCGCAGACGGTGCAGGCAGCGACCTCGTGCTGGACCTGACCGTACATTCCGACCCACCAGTAAGTAAGGCTCAGCAGTGAGTACGTCTTTCAGACGCCGTAGTGGCCGACATCCTGGTGCACGCGGCGAATCAGGTTCGCGCGCAGCTCTGGACGGGGGACAATCTTTGTCTCGCCGTCAACGAGGCGTTTTCTCAGGACGCCGTCCTTCAACTGATAGCTCTGGGCTCGGTGCCAGATGCGATCCTTATGCTTCGGTGTCACGCCGTTTGCGTACACGCCAGCCTCCAGGTACGCCATTACGGGGGCGTCCTCAGCCCAAATCTCGCGGTCAAATCGGACCGGCAAGTCAACATCGTCATCGGCGGCCTCACGCAAGGGCGCCACGATCGCAAGTGCCTGCGCGTCTGCAGAGCTTTCTGCCTGCGGCTGTGCAGGGCTTTCTGCCTGCGCGTCGGCAGGGCTTTCTTCTGGCGCGTTTGCCAGGCTTCTCTCTGGTGCTTGAATTTCGTCAGGGCTTAGTAGACGCGTCAGCTCTGGGTCCTCTGGCTCGCTCAGGGTGCCAGCCAGAATGGCGAGGCAGGCTGAGACGGCAGGTAAGTCCAGACCGACGTGGTCCATTCGGGCATCTGTCCAGTCATCATCCTCTAGGAGCGGGTTCCTCGAGAGCCCATCTGCATCCAGGTTCTTGACTTCACTGCGGTGCACAATCGTCAGATCGTACTCCTGCAGGATATTCGCCCAGCGGGCGTGCATGCCCGTCAGCTTGGTGTTCGGCATCAGCCACTGCAACGGCTCGTGGTCTGTGATCAGCGTGAACTGCATCCCGTAGAGGTACACACGGAAGTAGCAAACTCCCTGGACGGCGCAGCTAAGCACTCTCCATGGTAGCTGGAGGAGTTTCGCTCCCTTCGATTGTTGCTGCGTGAGGCGTAAGCGACCACGTACTCTTTCCCTTCCTTGTCACGCTGTGCGAGAACAGCGCCCAGCCCAGTGGCACTCCAGTCGGTGTGCAGCTCAAAGGGTCTGGTGAAGTCGGGGCGCCGTAAGACGGGCGCTTCAGTCAGCTTGAGCTTGAGCAGCTCGAAAGCCTTCTGCTCGTCAGTAACCCAGTTCCAGACAACGCCGTTCTGAAGCAGGCGGTTCAGGGGTGCGGCAATGCGCGCATAGTTCAGGACGTATCTCCGGTAGTAACCGCAGGTGCCTAAGAAGGCCCGCAGCTCCGAGATGTCCCGAGGCGGAACCATCCGTACGATGGCTGCCACCTTCGCGTCCTGCGGCGCTGTCCCGCCAGGAACGATAAAGTGGCCCAGGTAGGGCCACTGTGCGAACGGCCAGCCGCATCTTCTCCGGGTGGCACTTAATCCGCTTCGTGCGCAGCCGCTCAAAAACGGCGCGCATATGTATCAGGTGCTCGTCGAACGACTTGCTGTGAATGATCACGTTGTCGATGTAACAGCGGCAGAACTCGCGCTGCGCACTGAGTATGGTGTCCATCAACCTCTGAAAGAAGGCATGCGCGTTTTTCCAGCCCGAAGGGCATTACAACCCACTCGTAGAGACCGTCGTGGCCCCAGAATGTTGTCTTGCAGATGTGCCTTCTCTGCAATGGCCACCTGGTGGTAACCCCAGCGCAGGTCGAGCGTGGTAAACCACGTCGAACCCGCCAGCTCATCGAATATCTCCTCTGGCGTCGGCAGGTGGTAGTGGTCAGGGATGCTGACCTTGTTCAA